AGTATTACAGTATTTTGGGGTCTATAATGGGGTCCCCTTATTTTGGGAAACTACCATATGGAACACGGTTTGGAGTTGTGGAAATGGAAAAACCCAATGGCACGTGAACAGTGCACCTGACTTGTGCAGAATCAATTTGGGGGTCGAGTCGGGCTTGCATTTGAACCTCTGCAGCTGTTTCCCAAGGCGGGCCCAGTGAGGGCTCGCCAGTAAGTAGGAGGACCAACCAGCCTAGATAGAAGATGAAAGCTCTGGCAGAACAAAGTCGGTGGCTCAGCCATTAACTAACCCACCACGACTTACAAATTGCATGTAAGGAGTATGTAAGGTAGTTTTGCTTGTGTGCCAGACACGGCAGAATCAACATGTAGGCCAAGCAACATAGCCCAGTAGGGACAGCAGCCCTGGAGGGGCAACTGCGATCTCTGCCATGCCTATGCCTTCGACCTCCAACCAATCAACTGAAACGCCGCACTCGTCACTGGATTGGAGTAATCGCACCGAAGAGGACGAGCCCGTTTGCGAGGCTTGGGAGTAGAGTTGTTTTCGGAGCACGGTGTGTGACCTGTGGCACTGCTGAATAGCAATGATCAGAACATTAATGAAGCAGTGATACTCAGGCAACATCTTGCCATCTGAAGTCTTCGACCTTTCTGCATGATCTGCAGAAAAATGCAGGTAAGGCTTGACGACGATGAGCTGGTTGTCGAGACCTACCAAGACGTGGAGGAAGCTTCCACACCACGCGTAAGTTCACATAAGGCTGTAGTAATGTGAGTAGCTACTGGTAATTGGAATAATAAGAATAGTAGTAGCATTAGTAGAAATATCTTTGATGATAATAGGCAGTTGCTTGCAGTGCTGCGAGGCCATCTGTGTCCGTGTATGCAAAGGGCGCTGGGTCAAGTCTCCAATGCCTTGGCATCCCAAAACTTCCAATGAAGCTGGCTAGTGACATGAGCCATGGTCTAAACTCCTTAAAGGGGGGTTATATAGGGGGTTCTATAGGGGACCATTATAGGTGTTGTTAAGGGGGATACTAGGTAGGTTAAACTACAGCTCACATTGCTTGTTTGTAGCAGTGGGCCCCATTGATACCACAGGAGCCGCTGTACGACCCTGTGGAGGCCGTTGACGTAATGCGCTCTGAGTTTGTGCCTGGGACGAAAGTGATCCTAGACCCCGAGTCGTGATGATGCTCAGTTCTTACTCTCCTAGTCGATGGTTATATTGTTAGTGACTTGATATCCCTGTTGCGGTGGGCACTCGCAGGGCGCCCGCAGCCCAGATTTGCCATTAATCTGAGAGCCAAGGACAAGCTCGTGGAGAAGATGCACGGGCAGTTCGAATCGCTGCGCCAGGTCGTGCAGGCGGACGTAGATGCGTGGAATTGTGCATGCAGCTGTGCTTATGCATCATTAGAGCTCAAGCTGTCTAGGCAGTATGTAGTTGAAGAACAGTTGCACATTGACAAGTGCTGTGAGATACTCATTGTAAGGCTTTATAACACTGTTGCCTTGCAGAAGCATTATAGGTACGTTGTTATGAGGGAAGCCCCCAAAAGCCACTCTTCCACTTCCACCATTTTGGCTCCGTTGCTTGCCTTCTGCATTGCATTTCCTTTCTGCGAGCCGTGATGCCCCATTATTCCTGACAAGAAACAAAACTACCAGTAAGTTGCAAGAGTGCTTGCTCCAGTCTTCCCGAAGTTGGTTAACGGCCGTTTAGGCGTAGTATACTGGGCTTATGTAGGGATAATTGGAAAGAAAATGGAAACTTCTGTAGTATATTGGGGTGATATAGGCTTCACACGTTAGAGTTTTGTAGCCGCACGTGGGGTTCAGGGTTTCTCTATCTTGGCCTCTCAAAGGCGGTATGCACAGTCCAAAGCCATGTCCCTACTACCCTAAGCCGTGAGCCCAAGCTCTACACCCAAAACCTTAATTGGCAAAAACCCCAAAGCCTTAGCAAAGGTCTAAATCCTAAACTCCCAAAACTTTGCCCTAAACCCCTGCCCCCCGACCAGCCCCTGCAATGAGGCGGCGCCCCACACAGAGCCGCATCATCCGCGCTCACCGAAGCATGTGGGCCGGAGCCCTTCGCTGGCTACCGCGAAGGTGCTGAACATGTTTTGGGTTGAGGGAATTTGTTTGGGTGGGTTTCAGGGTGAAGCACAGAGGAGTTTAGGTTAACGGTTTAAGCTTCATGTTTTGGGGTTGAGGATTGACGGTGGTTTAGAGAGAATCACGTAAAGTTGAGAGCATTTGTTTTAATAGAGATTTGTGGGATAATTTTCGGCTTCTTGCAAGGGCCCTACAGCAGGATTGTAGAGGGGGTAGGTTTCTTGGAAGTAGTCTGTTTTGGTGTTTTTGGCGTTGTTGGGATCTCTCAAGAAGGACTTGCTTTAGAAACTTGTATTGTGGGAACAAAGACGGGCTTCTTCTGGAGTTCCATGTTAGGGAGGGGACCTTTATCCTGGGATCTGATCATTTCAACTTTTTGGGGTCTGGTTTGGGACAAAAGCAGTCTCGTTCGAGATTGCGAGGCCTCTTGGGTTTGGAGAGTATGGAGGTCGAGGTTTCACACACCCTGCGTCAGGCTTGGTGCTGGACTTTGGGAAATCTTGAGCAGAGTGTCCCAATCAAGTCACTGTTGGGATCCCACAATATCCCCTGACTTGGAGTGTCCAGTTGGTTTGCGTAGACTTCATACATGGGTCTGAGGCAATTGAGTGAACTAGCGAATCTGGTTGCGTGTTATTGCAGTGTTACAGATGTGCAATCAGTTCTTTCGTCCAGTGAAGTCCAATGCATGCATTGGGCTTCATGCGCTGCTCGCAAACCCAAAGTCGACAAGTCCAGACAGTCATCAACAGCACTCCATCCGAGAATCTTGGATGTTCCAGCCCTGAACCATGGAGCTGGCACACGGCAGGAGCCCCAAGTCTTGGTGAACCATCGAAAAAACAAGAATGAGGAGGCAACGGCCAGCAGAACTGAGAGCAAGATTTCCTGAGTTTTGCACGGGTCTAGACTTGGGAAGACAGTCGATGACAGTCGGAGATAGCTTTTCATTGCGCAGTACTATGCCACAGTGTTCCATTTTTTTCTGTTGCTTCGAGCCGTTCTTAGTGGTGCTGCTGTTGATGCTTACTGCCGCTGCCAGTTCCTATTGCTGCTAGTTGTGCAGCTAAGGAAGCAGTTGTTAACACTAGTTACCGTGCACAGCTCATATGACAATAACTGTCGCTACGATCACAGCCTGTAGACCAGCAGCAGCAATACCACAAATTACTAACAACAGCTACTTAAGTAACATAATGATGTATACTATGACATGACGGCTATGATTGCAACGAATATATATGCATATATATACATACATATTTATAACGTCACTTCAAGCGGCAGAGGAAGAACATGCAGTAACGCTACGTTTGGGTTGAATAGCCTGTCCATCTCACGATTTTCCAGCATTTTAGGCTGCTCGTGTATGAAAGGAGTCCATGCGCATCAACAGCCGCCGCTACGGTGCGTCCGTTGGCGGAAGGGAAGGTGCGAATGACATCCGCCTCCATGGCAGGCGCGAACAAGACGATAATGGGGTGAATTAAGGAAGGTAGAAGTAAAACGTAATCATCAGGTGATACTCTAAAATTTTTGTTAGTGCTTGTGACATCAAGGAGATTTGGAAGGTCACATTCCGAACAAAGATCTTGTTGATGGAGTTTTGTATTTCTGTGCACGTGGCCCATGATATGGACTAGTTTATGTATTCTTGTACTTCTAAACCAAGTATTTTGAAGCAAGCAGCAGGCAAACTTCATCAGGCAACATATGTTAGTCCTGCACGGTGAAGCCGTGAAGCAGCTTCCCGCCAAGCGCAAGCAAAACCAACTGGTAAACCTTACGTGGAAGTGACAGTCCGGTTGGCTGTTAACTGATTTTAGATTTTGTCTTTCGCTAGCAGCTAGCATCATGGGACCGTCATTTTGGTACCTGAAGCAAACGCCCATTGATCCGAGCTATCCCAACTAAGCTGCAGTTTAGTTACAGCTGCCCACACAATTTGAAGACTTTCTTCTGAGTCTTTGGCCGCCGGCATCATGTTTCATAGATGTTGCCGCCCCGCAGAGCTGTAGTTATCCTGAACCTCCTCCTCGTCATAGTCACGAGAACACGTAGTTGCTATCAGGTGGATGGAGCTGTCCACGCAGTTTAGTGTGATGCAGACTGGCAACTGGGACGTGGTTCGAAGATTTGTGTTACGACTTGGATTGTAGGCCTGCTGTGGAGTTACTAAATTTGTGGCAAGCTATCGAAGCTCGCATGGGCTCACTTGATACTGAAGTTTAGTGTAAGTGAATGAGCAGTTGTTGGGACTTTGTTACATGCATTCCCGCGATCACTTGAGCGTACCCTGGCGTTCAAATTCCTTGTGACCTCAGGCACGAGCAGTGCCGTGGAGAGCGCAAAATCAGCCAGGCGCCTGTTCAGAGTTCCGTTGGTGGATGGCCTAAAGCCTAAAGTCTGAGGAAGCTTCTGCGGGATTTGTTCCTTGTGCTTGCCCTCACGATTCCATTCTTTGAGGATTCTAGGTGCCTGCAGTGAATTGAGCAGTGGATTCTCCTAGTGGATTCAGGAATGTCCTGTCAAAACCATCGGTTTCAAACTCACTGCAGCATCCTTGATCTGCGTTGTCTGGCTTTGATCGCTGAAGCTGGGCCCGGTGAATTTGCTAGAAACAGTTCTCCACACCCCAAGAAAATGCCAGACTCAAAGTCAGGACTACGTGAGGCCCTTTGACTTTAAGACATCTCATGCAATCTCGTTCCTGAAGTTAGAGCTCTGAATGGAGCTCCTCAAGCCTGGATGCGAAAAGCGGTCTGTGGGGTAGAATGGAGTATCTTGCGCTCGGCTCGTTTTTGTTGCCAACGAAGGGAGGCCGCTTTGTTTTCAGTCCCTGAGCCCTGGGCTTACAGACATTTGAAGCCTAAACTCCACAAGTCTAAACAGGAGCACTTTCGCCCTGACCAAGCTCAAGCGCTCTGGGACCGCTGAACTCATTGACCAGCGGTTAGCGTGGCTGCAGATGTGGGACCCCTCAGGCAGGGTGTTTTGTGGGGCTTTCGTAGTGCGAAGAGCTTGTCCGCCTGTGACCGGCTCCTGCAAGAAGCAGTGGTACAGTCCTCTCGGTAGCCCAGTAGCAGTTTTGAATCTCAAACCCCCACCCTAAACCCTAACAAGCCCCAAACCTTGAAGCCTTAGCCTAAACATCCCGCTTGCATAGAAAAACCTACGCCTTAAAGTTAAAAGCTGACATCCTTAGTCCCGAGCCTAGTATCCCGAGCCCTTGCGGCTGGGCCGCATGTCCACTCTTGTGCTGATGTCCCTTAGGGAAGCAGGCCTTTCAGAGCTTTCTCAGGCCCCTATTTGAGAAATTGTGCTAACCACCACTGCTGTGCACGTTGTCACGGCAAACTCTGAATTGCCCGAAAACTCCAAAAGTGACGAAAGCCAGAGAGGGCGTCATTGCAAAGAGCGTGGGAACCTGAAAATTTCGGGATCATGCTGTGAGGCAGATTCAAGCTTGCATGGGATGGCGCATCCATCCTAATGGTCCTGCATCTCGTCTGCAATTGAAGCGGAGTTGGGGTATAGGGGCACAAGGAGGTTGCAAAGGGATGGACGGTTAGAGAGAAGTATGGGTAGGAGTGGAGTAGGAGTAGGAGTAGTGGTGGTGATGGTGGTGGTGGTGGTGGTGGTGGTCGTCGTAGTAGTAGTAGTAGTAGTAGTAGTAGTAGTATGTTGTCGAGAGTAGGCGTGGTATGCCGTGGTGGCAGTCGTTGCCTAGTAACAACTAGATTGATATTGACCAGTCATACTACTACTACTACTACTACTACTATTACTACTACCACTAGTCCTATTTCTACTACTCTCAGTTGCCACGTGTGCAACGTAATTGATTGGCCGGGCGTCTGATACCATGACCCGTTGCACGGGCGAACCCAATCTTTTGTAATTTCTGGACTTCGCTGGAGATCTTCTGGCTATACGCTTGTTTGGTTGTACGATTGTACCGCCTCAAAAACAGCTCAACAAATCTTCACTGAGGCTAGATGCCTTCACCATGCCGGTTTCTCTGGCTTGGGAGATTGACGCTGGATGGGAGGATGTTGGTACGACATTTTTGTTGATCACATTCTGGACAACCTTCTTGTTCTGGATGTCTGACGTCTTTGTGGCAGCCCCATCTGCTGGGGTCATTTGCAGTGCTAGCTCGCTTTGGCTGCAGGGCTCCACGGTCTCATGCATGTACAGATATTTTTTACACCGGCGTCTTTCTAAGGTCACCTTCAATACTGCCATTTTCCAAAATGGGAGCCTCACGAAAAAGAGGTCCGCAGTGGTCTGCGAGTATTTGAAAGGGTGGTTTCTCTTCGATCTGACACTGGTGACGCTGGATGTTTTGACAGCGACCCTGCAGACGAGCCGGCGTCTTAGGGGATCCGGGAATTCAGTTATCTTCTAGGTGAAGCCACTAGCCTTCTACAAGTACCCAGCAAGTGTGGAGATAAGAACTGTTTCGTATGTCTTGTGTATCCTGCAATTTTCCTGTACGTTGTGAGCCCTCTTCTCCCATCTCCCATTTAGTCCACCCTTCACTCCCCAGGCATCCATCCCTCGAAAAGAGACTTCTGACATCTGCCAGCAAGCGCATGAATGTTACGTCGCGTGTTCTGGTCGTAATCCTGGTAAACGCCATCGTGTTTGTGGTCCCGAACCCATCATCCACGTACATGTAGTTTTCAGCTGTAGGGAATGTTATTCGTAATATCAACTGTTACCGCCCGCGTGACGATATCAGCTATGCTTTGATTGCTTTAGCTGTATCTTCGTAAGCATGATTGTGTGACATCGACTTGCTAGTAGTACTTTGCTTAGTACAATTCCAGTTCCTACACTTTTCTTACTTCACTTCTGGTGACCGACGCAGCAGTATCATGGTTGCTTAAACTGGTAAAGTGAATGGGCCATGCAGCATGCCATTGAAATCGCAGCTGTGGAGCCTAGCATCAAATCCCGCGGCGAGGAATCTTAAACCTTACACCCGCAGTACGGAACTCCAATCCTAATCCCTTAAGCCAAACCCTTCAAGAGTCCTTGCACTCTGCAGTTGGAGAGGCATGGAGGGGTAGCGGAGCCCAGAACCAAAAGCTGCAAGCGATCTCAGGTGACTTTGGAAACCTGACGCTGCGAATTGTCCGGGGCTCATTCTGCTACCGACAAACTCTCTGGACCCGTCAGTCTCTCTCTGCGGGACCAACAGGAGCTAAGTTTACAAGTAGTTTTTCAGGGTTTGTGCTCAAAGTGGGGTACTTTAGCTGAACTTGTCTGACTTCAGGTGCGTCTGGCCAGAGCGCTTCGTCTGCTGCGACTGATCAAGATGTCCAAGTTCAACCAGGTTTTACAGGAGCCCAGTGATGAAACCCTGGGCCTGCCAACCAAGGCACAAGAACTTGTAGCAATGACCTCATCAGGAGAATTCGACTCCTGTCTTGGAAGAACTATCCTGTAAGCAGTAAAGCTTCGAGCATGCTTTCCAGGAGGTGGCAGCCTCGACTGGTAGACAATGGATGATCTTGGTCATGGTATCCTCGCTTGAAGTAAAGAAATCTGGGAAGGTGCTAAGAAATTTGAGAGACTAGCCTTCTTCGGGGTGCCTCGATGTTTGGATGAAAGGGCATTGGTGGGCATACAGTTACAAAGACGTAGTTGATTCGACTCTTGAAGCCGATTAATCATGCATTCAAGGGTGTGGCCGCGCTCCCGCTCTGGTGCCTTTACAGGCATAGTCACGATTTATGCATCTTTCTGTCCCAGCTCGTTCGTGCTTCTGGCATTCTCTTTTTCCTTTTGAATGTTGGACTCTCTGGGATTGGTTTTGGAAGGGGATTCCGTAAAATCTTCGCTGCTTTTCCTCAGGGTGCTCCACCTCGCTCGTCCTCGTTTCTCGGGGTTCTTGCGGGCCTGCCTCTGTGATCCCCGGGACTGACGAAGCGGTGATTGCCCTGCCTTCTTCGTGGCTGCTTGATTGTTCGCGCAAGAATACCAGATGAATGTGCTCAAGTTTTGACAAGATTTGCATGTATATTCATCATGTTGTACGTAATGCAGTTGGGGTACAAACTGTGGGAAGACACCCTCTCCAGATCCTCCTGGCCCTCTCAGCCCAGGCTATCACCAACACCTCGGCATTGATTCTGGTAGTCGCGCATATCCTCACCTGCGCATGGTATGGTGTGGGGAAGTTGACGCAGGACTGGCGGTTTTTCTGTGCGTGTTTTATATTTTGTAAGCCTCTTTATGCCTGTTCATGAAGCTCTTTGTTAATTCACAAAGCTGCTACCTTGTACTGACCATCATATCTATCATCGCTAGTCTCACTAGTACCGTTCCATCAGTGCCAGGAACCTGATGCGCACGTCTGCACTAGCAGTCAAAGTCGGCCCCAGTAGAACTGATCTCGGCAGCACCTCTATCATCTCAGTCATGGCTTTACCGGTATCGCGGTCGCGTGTTGTTGCAGCTGACATACAGCTGCTCACATGCATAGTGTCCTCATAGTGTCGTCATTTGTTGTTGGTAGCCATTCTCCTTGGAGCCGTGTGCTCAAGTATGAATGGCACTGTCAGAACTGGAAATTGTTCGATAAAGCTTATGAACCCGCGTGCCCATGCCTATACCCCCAACAGAGTCTCTGGCAAACATTTGATTGCGGTGCCTGTCAGAACCGCGGCCAAAGAAGCTGGATCGACGAAGCCGAAGCCCTTTCTGTGCCAGGACTCTGAATTCTGGGACCCTGTGGTTTAGGGTTCAGGCTCTGCAGCCACTGCGGAAGAAGTTCAAGGATTTGTGGCGTCAGATGCAGCAGTCTCGTGTTCGGAACACCTTAGTCAGAAACAGCCCCCGAACACGCATGGAATACTGCACAGATGGAAAATGCGCACACGGGCAGGAGTTGAAGCCGGGTTTACTGAGGGTCTTGGATTTAGGATATCTAAAGTTTAGAGCTCCGAAACTTCGTTGGGTCATTTCTACACGGCATCGGTGCTTTTGTAGGCGTCTTGAAGGTAATCCCTAGCTTCATCAGTGAGACTCCTGGATATCTGTGCGCATCCTGTGACTGCCGCCAGGATGGGTTCAGTACCTGCATTCTTTCCGCTTCATACTCAACAATCCCTCTCCAGCTCCCCTAGCGCCAGAGAGTGACGTGGAGCGATTGGTCGACATTTTCATGTACGCCAGAGCCCGAGCATGTTCAGATATGGATGTTGCTCAACAGTTTTAGCCCCTGTTTGCGGTAGCTGGCCACAAGGGATCTGCTTTTGGCTTGCCTTCTACTTTTGCAAAGTACCATGGTAGATTATTGTATATGTTGTGGCTTCTAGCAGTCTCCTTTCAACATTGTTAGGGGGGGGACCGTGCTGCTCATTGGAGCTGCCAGACATTGAGTGCCATCTGCCACACGCCTTTTGCCAAGATCTTTTGTCTCGTCATCATCGGAACCTCGATCTCGACAATATCCAGCACATTAGCTGAATTGCGGGCGATGAACGAGGAGCAATTTGCTTGGTGTGAGCAATCAGACGTGCGAATTTATCTTATCAGGGTTTGCCTACTGGTTGATTTGCTTGCGACCTGCTGATGCGGCTGCCACCCGATGCTAACCCACACTTCTTCTCCAACATCAACTGCGACTCCTGCCGCCGTTCCTTCCTGTTGTTGCCTTTGATTTTTTCTTCTTCAGCGACTGAAGTAAGACCCGAGGGCTAGGACTGAGCATGTTTTGTGGCTGATGCAGGGAAGGACTTGAGAAGCGGGGTGATCAGTTGGGCTGGTATTTGGGTTTGTAGCTGTTGCAACATCTTGCCAAGTTCTGGCGTTCGCATTGATTTGCAGATGTTCCGGATCCTGTGACAGCTAACCTGGAGTTGTGAGGGCAGGCATGGAAACATCATTGCGCTGTACAGATCCACTGCATCGTAAGCATCTTCGCCTCAATTTGTAGGGACAAGGGCTTGATCAAATAGCTCCGCTTTTGGATGCTTCTTCTCCCATACGTTCAGGAGAACGATCGGCAGAGGAGAGAGATTCGGGTTTATCTGACGAACCAGTATCGGGGTTGCACTTCGGCAGGTTTTGGTTTTTTCTTCCGGTTCAGCGAGGCTCGTATTTTAACGTGAGCTGAAGAGATTGCAAAGCACAAGCAGGAACGCGCAGTTCGACCTTGTCTCTCGAATTATGAAATTCGTGGAGTCTTGGGCTTGCAGACTGGATTCGGGTCACAGAGTCAGGCATCCGTTGCAGTAAATGGATGAGCATGATCAATGATGGCGTAAATTAAGCTCAAGAGCTCAAGCATCGACCCCGGAGCATTCCGCATCGCAGCGGAGAGAGCAAATTTTTTTCTCAGGACTACAAGCTCGAGAAGATGTCGCCAACCAATTTTGACAGCTCTCTGATATCCAGCACGCTCCAGACGGAGCTGTACGTTGGTCAAAGGAGCTGACAGAGATAGTGTTGAATCGAAGAAAGGAGATTGATGATGAGCCCTTGGCATCAGCTCACCCTTGTCCTATTATTTTTCTTTGAAGCGAGGAGCGCTTTCCTATCACCTATGCCAATTTTCCTTCTGACCGAGGAGGCTGGTGACGTGGTGGCTTGAAGGGTAGTATGGAGGTCTTTTCAGAGCAAGTTGGAGTAGGATCCTTGATTTGAAGCTCCGCATTTGCTTGCTTTCAATCAGCTTGTTGCAAGTTGTTGATGTTGAGTTGGACGTTGGGTAGGATTGCTTACCCTTTTTTCTTATGGTTTGGCTGACTGCAGCAGAAAATCCGGGGCGACTCTTCAATTAGATCCTTGGAAGAATGATTGAGAAGTTTGGACTGGACAGGGAGACCACGAGAGACTGCATTTTCAAGCACCCTAAACCCCAAAAGCCCAAACTGTCGGCCCTAAACCACCAAAACCATCATTCGGAAAAATTAAACGGCTAAGCCCTATAGGGTGCAGACGGGAAACGGGGACTGGGTCGCATCTGAACGTGAAAAAATTGCAAGCATGGAAGCAACATTGCCATTGTAGGTATTCCATACCTTTTTGTGTTTTGACCAGAATACCTGCCACTGCGAGGCATCGAATTGTTTTCTCTTACGAGGTCCCCTACTCGTTCTAATTGCTGCACCGCTGCAAACTGCCAGTGTTTACGTGAATGCTGAATCACACCAACCACATGCAACACTTACATGTAGTCTTAGTTAGCCCGGGCGGAACCCAAGGATGGGGGGATAGTACTGGAGGTAATATTGGTTTAGGGTTTAGGGTTTAGCCTGAACCTTAATGTTGGACCCTGTTTAGTACAGCCGGCCCCCCCTCCCCCCCTCAACAATTGATTATTCTCCTCAATACGGGCCCCTCCCCAAATTTGCCGGGCAATTAATCGATAAAAACATGAATCTCGGTAGTAGCCTTGAAGCTGGCATTCCTTTTTCTTATAAGTGTTAGTACTGGCCCTACCATTAGCCTTAAGATCTACTTCAAACCACATTACACCCATTGGAAACTAATGCAAAGCTGATTGAAATCTAATTTTGTGCAATTAAGATCTGATTGAACCAATTGCAACCAATTGAAATCTAATGAAAACCACCTTCAAATCTAAGTACGTTCTATTCGAAATCAGTTAAAACCCGATTCGAATCAATTGAAATCCAATGTGAATCAGCTTAAATCTAAATACAACTTAAGTAAAATCTAATCAAACTCAATTGGAAACCTACTTTAAGATCAATTAAGATACAAACAAAACCAGTGAAAATCTAATCAATCTAATTACATTATTCAAGATCAATACAAATCGGATTCGAATCAATTGAAATCTAATTCGAATCAAGTTAAAACCTATTGAAATCCATTTCGAACCACTTAAAAATCAAATTACAAAGAGAAGCTATCCCGGTGGAAATTCAGGAGACTGGAAAAGTGTATGATTATTCTGACCCCCCAAAACAAATGCTTAAAGAGGACCCAGGCCTCCGCTGGACTACCGTCCATGAACATTGACGGCTAGTATGTTTTCGTATAATTCCGAAGAAGCGGTTTACATGGAGCTGGGGTGTCTGAGTTTACCGATTTTCGGATTTTCCAACATCAGCCCTTGCAGGTAAAGGCTTTGGTGCTAGAGCTCTGGCATCAAACATCCTTTAAGGCCTGAGGCTTTGGGCCGTTTAGTATTACTTAAATCCTGCTGAAGATTTTGGCTGAGTTTAATGATCTTCAGATTTTTGAAAATATCGGGCCTCATAAGTAAAGGTACTGGTGCCGGAGCTGTGGAATTAGAATCCTTTAAGGCCTCGAAAGAAAAGCTAATATTACTTAGGAAAGAAGTTTTCGCATTTCTGTATTTTGTCACCGACTAACTTTATGATTCCGACCTCTCAAACAATAGCAGATTCTCAATAATTTTCTGGAAAATTTCAGTATTTCGACCCCCTCTACAAAACGGGGTCCAACCTTACACGATGAAACCCGAAACCCCGTAACCCCAGACCCTTCTCTCAAAACTCCTGAACCCCTACAGTCTGGACCTGATGAGAAGCTGTCGAGGCGTATCACGAGGTCTTTGCAGGGGCTTGTGCGGCGCTCAAGAAGGAGTCTACTTTGCAGTTACCAGGGTTAAGGGTTTTAAGGTTTCCGGGCTAGGGTTTAGAGTTCTGGGGTTTAGAATTTTCTTGATTGGAGTTTAGAGTTGCAGGGTTTAGGGTTTTCGGGTTTAGGGTTTAATTAGGGTTGTAGGTTTTAGGGTTTAACAGTTAGTCTATTAGTGTTTGTCGGGACTCGGGCATTGTCTTAGAACACAGGCCAAGAAATCTGACTGTTCTCTCGAAGTTTCTTAACACCTCCTCAGCCATTCTTCTGGCTTTGCTTCATCTTTCTCTGTCGGCAGCCGCTTGCTTCACAAATACAGGAACACGAGAAGTTTGGTTGCTTCAATTCGTGCCCTCCTCTAATAAACGTACCACACCCCTAGTACAGGGCATTCTCCTAAAACATAACGATCTAATCGGCAGCATTTTGGGGAATGTTCTGTTGCTGGGAATCTGAGGACATTTATGAGACTGGCGAAGCAGTCTTCAGCGCAGGAGGCTTCTCGACGGCGCTTCACATCACTACGACAGGACCTTGCCAGCTGCACAAAGCTGTAAATTTGGAAGCAGATGGACTGAGATCATGACCAGAGTTTTGTCGGCTTCCACTGAGACAAACATGGGCAGCACAAGCCTGTAAAGGCCTGCTAGCCAACCCGCGTTTAAGACTTCTTCATGCTTGTTTGGAAATTGAAAAGATCCCGATATAGAGTAGTCTCCCTCTTGTTTGCAACTGAGAGAAGGCTATTTGCTTTATTCGACTTACGATTTGTAAAGCCGGCTGCACTATGTGCCCCTGAAGTAGTTCTGCTATTCGCCTTGATTCGCTGTTTCATCATGATTTTTGCAGTTGCTGCTGCGGCTCCTCTTACTGCTTCTCCTGCTACGAGTGCTACAAGTAGCTAGTAGTGCTGCTGCTAGAATTCGTATTGCAAGTACGAATATGACATATGACTTTGCTACCGTTGTTATTTTTGCAAGTACCATCGCTTCTCTTTCTGCTGTGACAGTTGGTATTGCTATGGCGATTATCCTTGCAGCCCCGATGCTGATAACACCGCCACCGCCCACTGCCATACCGGCGGCCGACGCCGCGGCCACTGCCGCTGCTTTTGCGACTGGAGCTGCTGCCAGCACCATCCAGCACCATTATTCCTGCTGACGGCATGTTGCCAAATCCCACATTATTCCAGTTTCCAATCATTTTTGCAGATTTGTTTCTTCATGGTTGCCGTAATATCCTGCAGTTTGGCAACCCTACACCATATATGTACACATACGTAGTATATATATATATATATACATTTATCCTGATATAGCCCCACTATATGTCTCTTTAAAACGGCGCCTTTAATGCGTGTTACCAAAACGGCAAACTTTCCTGGGCCTGCTCTCCACTTGGAGGAAGCTACAAGTTCTGTGACTTCAACATGTCAGAGGAGGAGTTGGAAGGAGTGCACTGGTTTGAGGAGTTGAGCTTGTATGCCGAGGTCCTGCTGCGCCTTGCCTCTCCTACTTTCGTGGATTTGAGAGTTAAATGGCGCTCCCCGGACCAACCAACATCCCAGTAGGTTGAGCAGGTGTTGAGCATCAAGACAAGGACCCAACCGGTGTCAAACTCAGGTGCAGGGTTTTCTCCTAATTTTAGCCCTCGCTGACACTTCAACCTATTTTGGGATGAAATTGCAAGGAGTAGGAACATTTCGTTGCAGCTTGAACCTCCAGGCTGATGCAACTGGAGCTGCTCGGGATATCTGTAGCATCCAACTGGGAGTTTTTAAAGCTCCAATCAACTCAAATGTGTTTCCTAGGATGGTCAGGATGTTCTTGGGGCACAATGAGGGCCCGTGGTCGTCTATTCGGCAAGAAGTGTCCACAGCTAGGTAAGAGAGACGAGCCTTGGCAATAGCATGCTTACTTTGGCATCTTTCTCATCACTTGAGGCATCGGACTACGCTGACTGCGCTGACCTTTGCAGAGCTGTTCACCTTGGCTGGAAACGACCTCGCAGAATGCATCCGAAAATCGCCAGGTTCAGTTGTGGCCAACAATTGTGTGGAAGTTTCTGTAAGTAGCCGCTTGCATTGATTGATTACAGTGAGGAACTCCTACCATCTTCTTATAATCCCGTACGGCTCCACGGCTCCCATTATACCCCCGTTTCAAGAATCCCTGCGTGTGCAGAATCATTTGACTCGTCATTGATGTTGCATGTCCACCTTGTTGTTTGGCCTTCACCTTTGTCAAGCAAGTGGTGGCCGCTGTTTCGGTCAAGTTTGTTTTGGGTCTTATTGTGTAAGATATGGGATCCCTAGTTTCCTCATTGCTGCAGCGTATCGTTTCTCCAAAGACCCCCATAAAAAATCCCATAACCCCTGTATAGCCCCTAGACACGCTTAGGGTCCCTAAACGCCCCCCTATCTTGAGAAACTCCCAAAACTCCTTGGGTTCGGCTGTGGTCCCTGCCAGGCTGCACTCGAATGTTCTGCGAGTACGCGAAACCAGGCTGTCATTGAATCAGGTTTGTGCTTTAGATGGGTTTAGGCTTTGAGGGTTGTGGTTGGGGATTGAGGGCATAGTTTTGTTACGTGTTGCTTCAGAATTTTCAGGACTGTCAAGCAACCACCTAGGAAAGAGTTCGTGGGCGCCATGCAGAAAGCAAACGGTGAAATGACCCACCAGGACCTTGGTTGCTGGTGTTTGCTCGGCCATGCATTGAGACATTGTTCTCACTACAGTGCAGTGAACCATACAGAGCACCCCCACGATCGAAGAGCTTGGGAGCATAATGATAAGAATAATAATAAGGGTAATAAAAACAACAGTGATGGCTGCCATATGTTGCTTCCTGCTCTGGAACTATTCTCTTGATTTCAGACGCTCAAGCATCAAAGTGATCATTCGCGAGGACCAGGTCATGCTGTCCGACAGATGTTGCAAGCAGAACCAGGCAGAGGGATTTCGCAAAAAGTTGGGATCCCTAAACGGAAAATGTGTCCATGGTAGGGTTTCTACAGGAGTACAAGTATAAGCGATGCTGCGCTGAGCCACGTGGTGGCATTCCCATCTAGATGCAATACGTTGGGCATTTCCAGACTCAGAGCCCCACGAATCCGACCCAAAGTAAGGGAAAGAAGCGACAAAACGCAACACACATCTTGGAATCGCTGAGGTTTATCAGATCTTGTACCCAGATCCCAGGATGCTCGGTCTGTCCAGGAATTAGCTCCCCCCAAAATTGTAGAGCCCAGAGTAATAACGCCTTCTGCCAGGCACTCGCATTCCCGTATGCTTCGGATCCTAATGCTTGGGTTTCCAGAGAACAGGGGTTGATCATCAATGGCTCGTCATTACGGAATATTCTTTGTAAATGGATTTGGGAGTCTTGCTGGATGTATGGAAGGGCAGGATGACCATGGTAGTGAGAGTGTGCGCGTAGCAGGATTGATGGCTTGATAGTTGGGTTGCTGCAATAGCGAGTGGTAATGGTAGTATAGTATTCCAGCCCAAGCCTCTGATCAAACTGTTTCGGGCTTCTCCTTTGGTGGCGGGGGTGTTCGACCTGATATAGAGAGTGCTGGACGGTGGATCACACTGCAGCCAGCTGCTTTCATTGCAAAGTTTGAAGAAACTTGCATGCGGGCTCAGTTAGCGGTTACAATCCAGCTGCCAACATTTTGGATGGGTTCCTCAGACACAACATCAGGCCCCACATGGTCGTGCTTCACAGGTTTCTAGTTGTTGACACTGAGGACCATGTTGGAAAATATTGACATCGTAGGAGAGGGCCTCCTGGAAGAAGACGATGAGTCTGCAGATCTGGATGAAGAATCTGCTGCAGAACTGGCTGTTAGCAAAAAGCTGAGCAAGGACAGTGGGTGCTCACATTCTTCCCATTCATTTCCTTGCAAAGCAGGTGTAAGGACGACGCTAGCGATCCGGAATTCCGGGTACCAGCCTTCAAGCCTTCAAGACCGAGCCCCTTTGACCAGGAGCACAGCCCGCTCACACCAACAAGTGGCAGTGGACGGGAAGTGCCCTTCCCCTCCATGCGGCCCATGCGCAGCTTGCTGAGATTTAGTGGAGAGCTGGGTGCCCGGTTTTAGGGTTTAGGGTACCGCGGTGGGACAGGAGTCCCATTTTGAGGTCCGGATGGGGGCTTTCAAGAGTAGCTCAAGTGCAGCTTTAGGTGATACTATGCGCCTGCGATGACATAACACATTTGGGGGGTCATGGGCCGGATTTCCATGAAACTGCGTTGCTGAATCCCAATCCAGCCCTCAAGCTCTGTCGAACGGGGTGGTGGAAGGCACGTCACCTGTCATCAGCTAGATTTCATGGTCGCCTGAAGGGGGTGCGCGAGGTGGGGAGGACTGGGGGGTGCCCCGCCCAGCGCTTGCCCCCACGCCCTCCACCCACCTCAGACCTGCCTCCATCCTCCCACGACGTGTCGGTCTCTTGGACCTGGTTTGGGTTGGTCTCCAAGGTTTTGGGTTGGGGTCCGGTTTTGAACATATCCGGACACGATATTCCCAATAACGCCAGAGCAAAGGAGAACTGTGACTCCGGAGTTGGAAGCCGTTCTTGCTACCCCTGACAATACATTAGACATGTCAACGGATTTGGCTTTAGGACTTCTGGCTTGGGGGTTGCACGCGCACTCCGCAGAGCTTCTTGAACAGAACCTAAGCCGGGGCTGGGACCTGATCTATTATATAGAGGTTATATAGGGGTTATATAGGAATAATTGAAAAGAAAATGGAAACTACTTTAATATAGTAGGGTATATGCTCCTAAAGCCAAGGAAACATGGTCCCGTTGATGTCGCGAAATGGTGGGCTCGGATCATTCGTCCGAACTGTCATTGACTCCTCTTTGGCCATGGAGGCGGGAGAAAGATGCGAGAAAGTAGCAGAGGCTATAGCGGTAGCCGTAGCAGCAGAACTGCCTGGACTGGTAGTAATATATTAATAATAGCAATATATTCATAATGTACTATTAGTAGCCAAGTGGAAGCAGCTTGCTTTGCTGACGTGGCCACCCGAGATGTGGTAGTTGAGCTTGTCGAGGTGGACTACCTTTGTCGGAGGCTCCAGACGGTCATCCCAGAGCTTGACTCACAGACAGGCCCATCACTCAGAAAAAGCTCAGCGCGAAATTGTACGACCTGCTGTAGAAAATCCTTAATGCTCACCAGATTTGGGGTAGAAAGAGGGGAGATGCCATTGTTATCCACGCGGCCTCTTGTCACAGCACAGTGCCGTGTGCAACGCTGATGAAGCTCTGAGGGTGATGAAGCGGTGCGACCACTACACGCACTGGCCCTCCCTAACGGCCCTAATGTCTCCCTGTCTATGCCTAAAAAATTATAGCTACAATTCTCAGGCTCCGCTGTGTTGTTTGCCTAGCAGCCAGGATGTTGCTGAGAGTCCAAAGTCTTTTTCCAGGCATCCCCCTAACTTTTAGCACCAAACCGGTTGGGTCCCCCAGGATCTCACGTGGTGCTGAAGCAAGCCCCTGAGAGAGATCGGGCTGAGTCGTCCTGCATCTCGGTGCTGGCCCTAGCAGCTTGACTTTGATTCAACTGACAGCGCTTTTGTAGAGCAGAGCAGTGAAAGCTGTTCCAAGAATTAATTCCAGCAGAAGATTCAAAGACCTAAGTTCATACAGTTTCGTGTTCCATCTCTTACAAGTCGGTCCTTATTCCTGCATTGTTTGGCGCCACAGCCATGTGGTAAGCATTTTGGCTCCTCCGTTCTTTGCTCCAAAGTTATTCAAGCCCCACATGTTAAGGGATGGTGATGGAGCCATCGTATGAGGCATATATGGAGATCTGAGGTCTAATGGAATCCTAGATATAATTGGTAGTTTCCATAAGCAGAGGCATCCCAATATGGACCCCAATATATTTTAGTCCTAATTATGGGGACCCCCAAAAGGTACCCCTAATTTTGGGAAACCCCCAATTCTATAGTTTTTTTTTTGGGCATCAGCGAGAGGCTACGATATTTGAAATCAAAAAGGTCCAGGACTAGTCATTTCATGAGATAATGATTCAGGTGCCTATATCCTGCCTGAGGAAGCTCTTGCTTTGACAGTAGCAACTAAGACTAACATCCTATCAAGGTTAGCGTGGATACTTCTTCTTTGCCATGGTTTGATCTAATTGAGCATGGAAGTTTGCTCAGGGCAAAGGAGCTTGTGACGAGAGGTTCCCTATCAGCAGGGTCTTGAGATTCGGCCTGAATGCGCTTGGGCACCTCAGGTCACCGGCAAGTATGAAATCTTCACCAAGCCGCAAGCTCCACAAGCAAAACTGCGGCCAGAGCAGTGGTATCAGCTGCGTGACATCATCCGCTGGATTAATCCATCAGAGGACCCATGCTTGCTTCTTGCGTTGTGCATGGCACAGCGTGGCAAATTACCACAGCAGCCTCAAATCTACATTGCCACCCGGCGGCGAGTCACTGTGATTGACAGGAGCAGATGCACTCCGTACTGGTCCTCTTGGCCATCCGCGCTCTTGGAAAGTCCAAGGCGATGCTGAACCAGCTACCGAAGCACCAGAGGTGCCCGGTCCCGTGTCGGTCGGTTCAATTGGAAGAGGAAGCTGCTTCGGCAGGAAGGCTTCAGGCGGTTTGGGGTCAGAGGCAGATTCAATTAGATTCAGGTGCAAAGTGAATAAATAGCTGTAGCCTCTTTGTCGCAGGGACTGCTCAACTCCTCGTTCACTGACAGGCGTCCAGAGCGCGCTGTGCTGTACCTGATGGAGTTCCACGAAAATGCTCCCGCAGCTGCAACCAAAGACGTAGAGGGTGTGCGTTCAGGAGAGTCGTGCGAACATCAACCTCGTCCAAGGGCTCCAGATCTACTTGCTGTCCCCGAGAGTTTGTTTTTCCTGTTACCCTGCTGGGGTAGCCTGATTGTACTCTCCCAGTCGTCGCACTCGGCTTCTTATTGTGCAGTAGCATCCCCCTCCAATTGCACCATGTAGACCTTGTAATGAAGTGCATATTCCGACAACAATCTTATGGTGGATGAATCCACATCACGTTTCTCAAGCCGTGGGTTTCTTATGGGGTCTTATGCGTAGACTCTTGGATGCGCACAGTCGTGCATGCTTACTATGAGTTTTTGAGGTCGTGCCGTCTGCCACGCGACTGGATGACGATGGTCTGCGTCGTGTGAGGAAGGCACCTTGCTGGCCGAAATCGTTCGTCAGAATAGGCGATTGTTGCAGGGCAAAGTAGTAGAGTTACTTTCATAATGACCTGACATCAGGGACCCTGCAAGAAGCTAAAGTCTTTCAGGTGGTTGTTCCTTTGACATCCAGCCGTCATGAGCTTGCCAGAGGAGACCGCTCCCCCCAAGCCAAACAACCAAACCATACCAAACCCTAAGTTTTTATGTCCTTGACCTTAAATCTGCATGCACATTCAACTGCGCGTATACGTGACTCGTCGTACGTATGAATGCCATCCAAGACTGTACATGCAAGCGATGAGCCAGAACTGCTTGCGAATCCTGCAGGGACCAGCGAACTGGACATTGAACAATTTCACGTGTCAGACAGCAACCAGAGCAAAGCAAGTATAGCTACAGTCACAGTGTTACTACTCCCACAGCTGCCGCTGCTGCCGCTGCTGTAGTAGTGCTAGCCTCTAGCCTCCTTTTCTGTATCTCGCGCCAGGCCTTGCACGTGCACGAGACTTTCAATCTGGCACAGATGCCTTGGCCCTGGCAGTCAGTCTTCTTGTGGAGACTTGAGTATTTCTTCAAACGAGGGTCTCCGTTAGTGACCAAAGCCACATCTGAAACCAACGCTTAGTCCGTACCGACAAAAATTGAAGACTATCACTATCATCTTTCCCCATTGTCCTTATTACCGACATCAAGGCGCTTGCCCACAGCATGATCGTGCTGATGAGCTTGGTAGGTTGTTGTTCTTGCGTTGCTGGGGTTGGGTTTTATATGGTTTTATGGTTTGGGGTTTGTGGTCTAGGGTTTAGGTTCTATGGTCCAGGGTTCGGGGTCCACGGTTGACGCGGGACCGTCTTAGAGGGTTCAGTGCTTCCGGCGCCAAGGCTGCAGGGCGAGAACATCCCTGGAAATGTGAATCAGCTGCAGGAGTTGCCAGAAGCCTAAAATGGGGGGGTTCGTTCTTTGGCGTCCTTGCTAGAGGTTGAAGGGCTGGTATTACTTTGGGGGTATAAAGGGTTCGGGACTTGTGTGATTTGTGTTCCAAGCATCAGTTCTCAATAAACCCTGTACAACCCCTAGATAGCCCATATACGTCCCAGTATAACCACTACAGGGTTCTGCAGTGGTGCAGGAGTTGATCCTCAGCTACAAGGAGGAGGGCAAAGAGGCATGGTTTAGGGACATACTGTTGTATAGGGATAATGGAAGAGAAAATGGAAACTACCATATTATATTGGGGTTATATTATACAAGGGAGATGCAAGTTTGTATGTGCGCTGATTTTTAGACACCACTGGTTGATGGGTACCTTGATGCCATCCCCCAAGCAGAAGGACAACCGACCGGAATTGGGCCCAATAGTCCCACCGATAGGTGTTCCGCTTCTACATCCTCTTCCTCCTTGGCTTCATGAGTGGGCTAGCTTCTGGTCAAGGTTCTCGTTTCATGCACCTCTGCTCAGTTTCAGTTCTGCAACGAGTTCTTTCAGCTGCCGCCACATGGGTGGTGTGGCAAGGCGACGGAGTTGTTTTTGGGTGCTAGGCCCTGTTCGAACAGGAACATCTCTTGCAAGAGCCTGAGTTCCAAGGAATGCGACGAATGCTCCGGCCGTCATTTCTGGCATCCATATGCTGCAGCATCTGCTGGATGCAACGGCGCAGGGCATCTACTGGGGCTTCATTGCATCTCGCGCTCCTGGGCTTCAGCATCCACAGATTGCTTTATGCTTCAGTCGCGATTCTAGGTCAGGGATGCTTGTTGTCAAGGGCGCGGAAGGGCAGCGGTGCCCTATTACCTAGCATTTTTGCATCCGCTTCTGTGGAGGAATCATATCATGGCTATTACTGGTAGGATCATTGATGCTTTGTGGCTGATTCGGTTGTTGCTCCTGAATGATGTTGAATCCTGATGCCTCGTGCTGAACGGTGGGCCAGCAAAGGCTTCGGCACTGCGGCTTCCACAGCGCACTGCCGAAGACTTTGTGCTTGTGCGCCTGGCGTGCCTGAGTCGCGTGCAGGACACACCTGGTTGGTTTTCATTGCTACTGCTGCATCTTATTGTTGTCAGATCCTGCGCGCCACCGCCCGCCACCTCAGCCACTGCCCCACACCCTCCCACTGCCACACCGCCACCCCTAACCATCCGTTTCTGCCAACATTACGAGCATTACTACTGCCGCTGGGATGCTTCTGTGATGTGGAATAAAAGGGTCCGAGCCAGTCAAGGGCGCTTTGCAGGGTGTTTGGGCTGCATGTGTCTCTGCATGCATCCAGGTATGATCCATGTAGGTTTCCTCGCACACTGACCATGAAAGTCCAGCAAACAGCCTTTGAACACCTTCAAAAATCCAACTGTATGCCAGGGATTGAAGAACTGAGAAAATCAGAAAATGAGGTGTGCACCTTCCCCAAACCGTAATCAAACACATTTTCCTTCACCTGAAACTCCAAACTTGGACGGCAAACTCCCAACCTTAGCGCTAAAATCGCAAAACCTTTTCTGAAAGCCCTGAACCCCTTGTGAAGTTTGCCTGGCTACTGTGTAGCCCGGGCACAGCGTAACCAAGAGTTGTGGGGCACACGGCCTTGCCGGCATGGCATTTCATCAACCTCTGGCTGTAGAGCAAGGTCCCAGCAAAAAGGAACCCCAAAAGCCCTTGAGTCCTTGAGCCCTAAATCCTCAGTGCCAGAACCCTGAATGTTTGAGTCCACCAGGATGCTTCGGGGTACAAGGAGCTCCGAAGGGCCTGGGACAGCCTGGGTACCTGGCCTGCCGTTAGCATCCTTTGGTAATCTTGGGGTCTGCAGGGCTTGGTGATTCAAAGACGTGGATGGGCTTTAGAGGTCAGTGCGGTTTAGGGTTTGTGTAGAATTTCAAGGCGTGTAGGTTTTAGGGGCTTCCCGAGGTTTCGAAAGTTTGAGGTTGGGGTTGAGGATCATTTGAGCACTCCGTAAGTACGCCGGTGGAGTATTCCCAATTGACCCCTCCAATGGTGTCCTTGATGTGTGCCACACTGGCAAATGGAGGTCCAGGTGTGTCGGGTGTTTTTGGTGTGACACTGGGGTTGTCAGGGCCTTCTCCTAGTTCAGGCCTCAGGTCCTGCATGGGACATGCAGGGACCTCTTCTTTAGAGGAAGGACTACAGTTTCGAAAGTGCAACATCTTCGAGTAGAGCAGACGGGGTATGGAAGCAAGTGTAGGCACGGTTTTTCTTTCCAGTGGACAATTTCGCTCTGCAGCTCTACCTGTGCTAGTGCAGTTTTTTTTTCAAATGCATTCCCTGGATCCAGGCATGACGGCAACGATAAGAAATACCCTGTTTGACCTTGTCGTGTTGAATGTAAGGTGCCAGAGAGCAGTCCTTCCTAGTGGAGCACTTCCTCAGCGATGGTCTCGAGGACCGGCAGCGGCTTATGAAATGACTCACGCTGATGCTGCATTTGAAGATATATTGCAAGGATGTGTAGATTTTTATGCGTTATAAAGGGATTATATAGGGATCATATTCCCATAGTGCCTACTCACTCCCAATAAGCAAAGTTGTGTGTCAACAGTCTGACGAAGGAGAGAGCCCTGGTCCTGGAATTCTTGCCTGCCTGCGTCGCCAACGCCAAGTCCAACAGCCTAGTGGGCCTCACAATCCTTTTAGAGGCTTGCTGCACGGATGTTGCTTTTCCTTCGTGGCAGCTGGCTCCTCGCAAACTGGGAACAGGGACAGGTTGGGGATGGGTGGGGGGATGCTACCTTGCCCTGCCGGCTCCTTGGGGTTTAGTTGCCTCACTAGAAAGTCAGCAGCTTGCAGTTTTCGGGTTTCAATGATTCAAAATGTCCTGAGTGCTACCCGCGGTTCTTCATGCTGTTCGGCTTTCTGCAGCCAGTTTTGCACTTTCATTCTGACAATCCTTCACCCACTGACTGTGGGTCGCAAGAAACAGAAACACGGTTTTAACCCCCCAGCTGCGGCCCTGAATGATTTCCTGACTGCAGGACCTTAACAATTGCACTAAATGGCGCCAGCTGTGGAACTTTTTTCAGGGTGGTCTTTTTGAGATTTTCAGTCCTGCAAGATCCTGCAAGGTTCTCAGTCTCATGAACTGGGCCATAAACTCTGAGAGAGGTGAGCATCCAAGCCCAGGCCAGGTGACAAGACTTGGAATCAAACAAAGGCTCCCCCAGGACCCTTCCCACTGAATGTTAATGATTGGGAAATAGGCGTGTCTATTCCGCGTGTGGGTGTTCAGCGCCTTGTTCTGCCTTCGGGCAAGTAGAGGTTTATGTGTCACTGTTTTTTGTTGAAGTTCGGTGTGTCACGACATTCAGGAGATAATTTACTTTCTCTCTTTTGCTTTGACAGCGCTTTTGCGATTCTTTGCATAACGGTTAACTACTCGTAGGCATTTTTTTGTTGAAAGAAGAGTGCAAGGTACAAGGAGCTGTTGCGAGCGAACGGTTTTTTGTTGGTGTTGGATGAGTGGCGCTGCTAATGGATGATGAGTACTTGCGTTTTCAATGGCAGCAACACTGTCAGCACTCCTACTGGCGTCTCACCATTTTTTGATGCAGTGAAGGGTTGGCACCAGTCACAGACTGGCAGGTGTTGTACAGTAAAAACAAGACGCTCATGTGCGTCTCATAGCATACCAGCTGAGTTTGACAGTTCCCATGAATGCAGCCCGAGAGTTCTGGTGGAAAGTTGTTGAGGGTTCTGCGGCAACCGCGCGCTACTCACACGTGGAGCAGCCTTCCTAGCAGGACATGCTTTTTTAGGGAGTCTGGCAGTGCTGATGAGTTCTCAAGATCTTGTTTAAAAGGGCATTCCTGGCCCATTCTCCAGCTCTCAGCTTCCACCCCTGTGATGGTTCTGTATATGAGCTGTGCTGTGACAGGTTCTTGTGGACCTCCTGAGCAACCTGTGGATGGCGGTGGATAACATGGCAAACTTGAAGGGTGTAAAAATGATTGCAGTTGACTTGTCCGAGGCATGCCTGGAATGGCAAGTTTTACTAATGTGTTTTTCATCCAAGCAGTTAGCGCGCTCGACTTCAGAAGTTAGCATTTAGAGCTCCAGCAACAATGTGTGCTAGGCCCATTCGGGCCCTTTCCTTTCTTGAAAGTGCTTCCGCCTTAGCCTTTCCACGTGCTTTGCAATTTCTTGCCTCGGGAGTGAAAAGCAAACTCCTAAAACCCCCGGTATCATCAGTGATGCTCCAGCTGCTTGCAGATGCCTAAGGACATGGGTGAGTTCATCGCTGCAGTCCAGAATCGCTTCGTGTTCCAAACATGTGTGTCCAGGCGCGGCAATCAGAATCTCAGCGCTTCTGCAAGGTATACCCAGACTGCAATAGTGTGTGCGTCGCAGCAGGTGCGACATTTGTCCATCATTCCCTTTCAGGTGCAAGTTCCACTCTGTGGATGACCGAGTAAGAGTGGAGATGACGGGCGGGAACTGGGGCCGAACCAACGACCCTGACACCGACATGACCAGCTTAGCGTATATTGTCAAGGTGCCCAGGGCCCTGTGATGAGGGGAAGAATATCACAAGAAACAGTCGTATGACAAATGCCGCTGGAATAGTCTATACCGTAGCATTCTATGATATTCTATAATGATTTCTGAGAACATCATATGTGCAACGGCAATGTGATCGCCGGAGGGAAAGGAGCTGTGTGTGTGACTGTGATGTGGTCAAGTTCTTTATGCTTTTGCCTACCAATGCGTGCAGGATGTGCTGATGAAGCAGCAAGTGATGGAAACGTACATAATGCGTCATGCATGATTTCTTCACAGACAGTTGCAGCTAGCTCCACGAAGACGAGGATCGGCCTCTTGTCCTGCTGCTTGCCAGGCCATGTTAACATTAACGAATCTTTTCAGATAAGGCCTGGGTGTGCAGCGAAATAATGAGGAACTTCGGCAGGACGATGGCCCTCCTACCAGCACCACCGTCTTGGTAATAGCGTTTTCGAAGGACGAGGGCAGACATGAGACTTCTACAGAGCCGGCAGCGGTTTCACCCTCCTACTTTATTGTACAATGTTGTTCCTCAGTCTTCACAGGTTTGCATTGTTCGTGCAATTTCGTGCAGAATTGAAGTCTCGGCGTAAGTTATCTGCTTGCTCGTTGCCATCTGTACCCAGAACTGGGTTGGATCTTTCTGTTGATGCCTTTTCTCCTCGAACGAGGACTGCGGCGGAGTTGGCTAGGGTGCTTGTCAGCTTCACAGCGGGGCATCGCACCACGGGTTCTGCGAACAAAAAGTTGTGCATTCAGTCGCTGCAAGCTTTCCAACCAGATGTGTTTCGAGGTTTCCGGGTTACCTAACTTGTGATGAATCGAGACAAGGCTCCGTGAGCTGATTGAAGGCAAGATTCTGGTTTTCTACTCTAGCTGTGTGGTTTATGTTTGCTATGTCGTGCCTAATCTTTTATGGCTACTGCCTCGGCGCATGACGGTGATGTCTTGCATCATCGGATGAGAAGTGGGAGGGGGCGGCAAGTGCAGGAGTCCTCAGCACCCGACGTCGAGGACTTCGCAGTGACAGCGGATGATCGTTTAGCTCGGCCCTTGGTGACAACCCTGTTTTGTGTGAAGCCTCGTAGTTGGTTGATTCTCAACTTGAACTTCACAGCACCCACCAAGTTATGACTGAAAACTCCAGACCTTATCGCCTGGCCATTGCAATTCCTGATTCCGGCATGTTACCAGTTCTCCTCAGACCAGACCGTGTAGTATGTTGACAGCCTACCTTGACTCCTGCAATGAAGAGGAAGAGGAGGAGCAGGGGTTTAGGGTTCATTGTGGCATGTTACCCCAATAATGGAGAATCAAATGGAAAAGAAAATTGAATGAAATGTCCTCCTGATGCAGAGACTCAGCTTCCCGCAAGCAAGCGCAGTATGTATCAGCATGATTTCGCGAACAAGGGAAGGCTCGCTTGTTCGTAGTTTCGGGTACATGGAAATCATCTGCAGAAAAGAGTCACAGGGCATAATCTTGACTTGATTTGACTTCTGGAATCCAACGAGACATCAGTGGGATCAGGATCCTGACATTCTCCCCTAAAGGTCTTGTTCTCAAACCATAAACCTGACATGTCGAAAGCAATCAGGACTGGCCTGGAGCAGCCGCCGACCAGGCGGCCATCCGCCGAGTGGAGGCAAGGGGATGTGGATCAGGATTATGGGTTTAGGGGTTCAAGGTAGGGCATTAGGGGTCCAGCAGCTTAGAGTTTAGGGTATACAGGTTTACTTGAGATGCGGTGTAGGCAGCAGGGTGGTCATGGTCCTCGCCTGGGCATTGTAGCCATCAGTCTGATCCCAGAGCCCAATGCGCAATTACTTACCTCGAATGTTTTAGAGGCCTTACAGGTACCCTTGACAAGTCTTTGATTCTTAGGGGAGATGGTGGAGAAAAGGGAAGCGTCATTTTTGGCTACAAGCCCGAATCGGGTTCAGCTTGCACCATCTGCAGCCTTGCTTTGCGGGAGGAGTTGCAGCCGCTGTCTGCAAAGGCCAGGGTCACAGCAGTCTTGAGAGTTAACAGCCCGCATTATCTCCCGAATTTACTGCGTGCCTTCAGAGCGGCTGTCATTTTTGAGGGGTTCGCATTTGCCTTTACAGCTTAGGGTGTATCTAGTTCAGTTTCGGGTATACTGATCAAGGAAAGGCCATCGCATGCGGTTTCAGCCCATCCGAATGAAGTCTTAGGTCTGTCGGCGGCACAAGGTTTTCCTGTCCCTTCTTCGAGGCGCCGGTGCGATCACGATAGCGCTTTGTGTTGCTGTGCAACTTGGGCTGTATCAGGTCTGATGCGGCCTGGAACTCATTCAGAGTGCATCGTGGTGTCCAGTGCACGATCGAATGCGTCCTCTGTGCGGCTATGATGAGCGTGAAGAGCTTTGTTGCACAACTTCCCTTAGTTCTGTTGCCTCCCAAGGCTGGACCCCCATTCACGGATGGATGCGGCGACTGGCGGCGCATCATCGTTTTTCTTGGGGGAGGCTTGCCACGGGCATATTGAAAGTGGCTTCAGGCTTCGCCTCTCGAGGCTGCCTTGTGCGTAACAAGTGTGCAGTGTGTAACATGCCTGCAGGTGCGAGAATAACCACCGGCCGGCTTGATGGCAAGTGAGAAGACACGAAAAGCTTGCTCCGGCTGCCTTGTTCGCTCTGCCTGTTGCCCGGTCAAGCCGCAACATATGCCTTTGGCTTGCTTGCCAGCATTAATGTGCTTTGTTTGACGAGAAGCCTGGCCCTTCTTCGCTCAAGGGTGTCTGCCGAGATAGATTCAGCTTTGATGTCATCGCATTTTGCTAGCTTCGTTCGCATTGCATCTAGCTCGTGACAATTACTGTCCTCGATCCTTGCTGTAATCTCTGGAGGCCCCTGCCTGGTCTGCAGATTGGTAGGAGTCAGTATGCCTCGATGGTCTTAAAAGTCCATTCTGCAGGTGCCCAGAGTCGCCAACATAAGAGCACTAAAGCCATCAGCTAGCTGATAGCTGCAGCCATGGGCGGCGCACTGCCGCTTGGACGGTTTGATTTGGGGGGGGCAGATACGTGGAATATGTGTGAATATCAGCTTTTGGAATGCCAAGTTGCCCGTGTCTCGGCGACCGTGGAAAGACCGCAAGCGATGCGGCGCCGTGCGCAGCCATTGAGGTGGAGGTTTGATGTTGATGTTGTCGCGCACACTGTGAGCCAATGAGGAGATACCCAGGGCAGTGCCCAGCTCTGCAGGCTTCGGGGTACCGACAGTTTGTGGCTGTAGCCCGCCCCAGGGCATGCGATTCGAATTGCCAACAGGACTTGAATGTCCGATCAATGGCGAGTTGCCAGACCTCCTGCGCAACCGCTTCCCACAGGCCAGCGTATTCATGGATCGATGCCATAGATGCCAGACTGCTGTGCTCTCTGTGCAAAGCTGTCAGAAGACTTCCAGTATTGCTGTGAGGATCCTTTGTGACGGTGTGAGGTTGTGACTGTGAGTGAGAGATGTTCCTACTCGTTCCGGCTTGCAACGCAGGAGAATTAGAGCTGGCAAGGTGTGTGAGAGCGAGAGCAGCAGCAGCTGTGGTGGTAGCAGCAGTAGCTTTAGCTTTGGCTTTAGATTTAGCAGCAGCATTAGCACCAGTATTAGCAACAGCACAAATAGACACTAGGGGCGGCACTAGCAGCAGCATTAGCAGCATTCTAATGCTGCTGCTTCCAGTGCTGCTACGTCTAGCAACAGCAGCCGCAGCCGCAGGAGCTCAAAACGATTTCAAAAGGTGTTCAGTTCGGTTTCTGTTACTGTTGGGGCCATGTCACCCTGCTGTTTGTCTGATGTTGCATGGCTTGTTTCATACAGGGGTGTGCCAGAGTTTTGACCGCGGCAGGGTCTAGAGCTCTCGCGATGAAGGATAGCAAAAGTCAAACAGTTTTAAGTCTACATATTGAAGCTTTTAGGGTTCGCGCTTCTGAGATGGTCCGACTTTTCCAATGTCCCTTTTTCTGTCTTCGTTGCTGTCCGGACTGCTGACTCGTGCCTTGCACTCAACAAGAAGGCGGAGCTCTCAGATCGTTTGGCGTCTCGTTCAACTGCGTGCATGAGTCATTTGCATGATTCTTCGCTTGGTAAACCAGCTGACTTGCCGCGCCTCATGCAAAGTGGACACGGGAAAACCTTGTTTGTCAGGGCAGGCAGCTGACCACATGTGCATAGAGGGGGGGAGGGGTTGCCAATTGCTGTCAGGCGTCTTCACCAGCAAATGAAGGAAGCGCGCCAGTGGCCAAGCCCAACTCCAACCCGGAGGCCGACGCCACTTCCGGTGCGACATGACTGCAAGGTTTGTTTAATCTGGCAGCTGGTGCACATCTGCTATGGGCTTGCAGGCTGAGCCCCCAGCCAAGATTGCGGCAGCAAAGGCAGGGGAATGTAAGGCTTCATGGCAACAATGCTGCAAGGTCTGCTTGAGACCGCAAGATTTTGTTGAGCGGCGCAAGAAAGTTTTCAAGTTGTAAGGGATGAGATAAAGGACGTAGATGATGACGGCGATCTGATGTAAAACGTTCTCCAATGGCAGCTCCATTCAGATAGATAGCTTTCAGGATGGGCCTCCAAAAATGGGTCGAACATGAGCATTGCCAGATCTGCTAGCTGGTGAGTCGAGGCCATGGAAGAGCGTGAAACTTTTCTGCGCAATCTGGAGGCTCTTGGGCTGCCTTCCTTCGGTGAAGTTTGGGGGGCTGCGCAGCTCGGGTAAATTGTCGCTGCAGGCCGCAGAGGATGCTGCCAGATTAGAGGCGGGATGGCCTTTCGAAACATTTGTAGGGGCCTAGAAGTCATGCCATGCTGACGCGCGTGTGCCCTTGTGAGGCAAAGCGAGCACGTCTGGAGGCATCGAGCAGTTGATGCAGCTTTTAGTCGGGGCGCGCAACTGTAGAGTTTGTAGATCCTCGGAGTACCGTCGCACCAGGCAGAGAACGTCCGAGTAAGGGCGGCCTTTGCAAAGCTCCAGAATCTGACCAAGGCCCCCTTGCTATGCTGCAAACCTGCTGCGTCCCTTCAAAGTGCAGTTGCGTTGGTGGCAGGGCGCTCGAGTCTCGTTTGATGAGATTGTGGAGGTGGTTGGCTGCAAGCAGTTGCGAGCAATAGCTTTGCAAGTGGTGGGCGTGCTTGCTGCGCTAGTGGTTGTGAGATTTTGCTGCAGGTCCATGAGCTCGCTGAGCTAGACATGCCAGAGGACAATGAAATGTTGGCTGGCGCCCGAGAATATCTTGTAGCGGCCTAGATGACTTTCAATTTCTGCGAAGTTGGGCCTATCCGGACATGCGAGCAGATGCACTTCCGCTAAGGTCACGCCAGCCTCTTCTTCATCTACAGGCAGGGTCTGAGCGAAAAACTGTGAGGGAAGGGGGTCCATAGACTGGTTGAGTGCCGTGATCTGAGCACCCTGACGTTGCGGTTGCTGCTCCCTGCTTCCTGCTGCCAAGGCTCCCCACAGCAGTCCATTTTAAAGGCAGGGCCTGAAAAGCGTGGTGCGAGCATGTTGGATGGCACCCTCGACAATTGCCAGCAGGGGAAGCAGATTACATCCTCGTCAAGCTGGGCCGTCGAAGCCCGTGCCCAGCTAGACCAGGAGTTGACATCTGTTCAGCAGGATGTAAATCATTTTGCAGTGGTTTCAATGTGCCACACACTGCCACACTGTCCATGATGGTTACATTGGTTACAAATCTTGCGCCCGGCGCGTGATGCCTCTTGAGTCGACTTAGTATTTGGGCAGGACAGTGATTCGGATGAAGTTGGGCCCTCGACTAGTACGTGTCTGTTTGATCCCACGAGCCTTCGGGAGTGGCCTGTGACAAGGTCTACGAATACGACGGCAGCGATGACGACGTATTCTTTGAGGAGTGACGCAGGAGCTGCTTTGGAGCAGCTGACCTTTTGTCGGTCATCACATCGTTTCCCCAGACACAGCTACAGTACCTGTTCGGAAAAAAAGGCGAAGTAGGCATCTGCGCCAGGCATTCAGGTACGTGGTTGACCGTCACAGCATTTATTCAGGTGCGATTCCTTGCCTGTTCATAGCTTATTTTCCAGTTTCCGACCCGACGGGCATTTGTAAACTTATCCCATGCTCTTTATGTCAGCCCTACCGCAGAACATTGACACCACCTGCAGTGATATCAGCCCCAGAGCCATGGTGGCGCCTGCGCTGCGTCCCGCAATTCTGCTTGGCGCATGTGCAGAGAGCTAATCTTTTGAGATCTTTCCACATTCATTTTGAAGATGCCACGGTCCCAAGGTCTGCTTGACTTATCCGCCAAGCCGCTCTACGCAGGTGCTTTGTAAACAATGGCTTCAGGGACATGACTTGGTTTGCCTTGGTCAGTAGCCGTGCCCTTGGTCTGCAGTGAGGCAGCAAGCTTCACGCTACCACCCCCAGGCGGTTGCCGCCTTGGCCACTTGGAGTCAGTTAATGCATGGGTGATCACTCTCGCCAATCATCCAATCAGGCGACTCAATGGGTCAACCAATTTCGTTTGTCCAGGCATGTGGGTATGCACCACTAGTTGGATGCATGCATAGTACATTCATGGCTGAAAGAACAGTCCGGCCCTTATGTGACGTTGGACTAAACACACACTGCCTACACCGTCCGCATGGAGGGTCTTTTACAACATAAAGCCCCTCGTGCAACCAACCCGGTTGATTTTCTCTCAAAACCCTTCGGTGCCCTAGGCTTCCGTCCAGAATCCTAAGCGCCTCTCCATCCAAATTCCAAGTCCTGGATCCCAAATCCCAAGCCTTCACAACCTTAAACCTAGGCCCTACACCTCAAAACCAAAGCTGCGGGTTTTGCCATACCGTCCAAGGGCGGCCGCGTCCAGTTTCTCTGACCAGCAGGGCGGCGCAAGGAAGCCTTCTGTTGAGTTCTGTAGTGGAATTCTGGAGTACAGGGCTTCGATAAAAATCTACAAGGCTAGCGCAGGCCTTCTGCAGGGATTGTAGGACTTTACGGCAGCTTGCGATAACATTGGATCGCTGTAACTGACCCAGCTGCAGCATAGGCTCTGCCGCCACAAGCAAACTACTTGTAGCAGCCACTGAAGAGGGCACTTGTGGGTCGAACCTTATTGTTCCAGGTCCTGCTGGGATTTAACGTGGGGGGCTCTTCAGCACAAAAAGAGTCTTGAAACCTGAGCTATAAATGCCCAAACCCGTAACCTTCAGGCGTTTTGCCAGCTTTAATTTCGCGCAATCCAGGAGGTTTTCCAGCAAAGGATGTGCCAGATAGATCCGAAACCCTAGGTCCGTGAGCCTGAACGCTGAACCCTAAATTGGGGATGGCCGGGATGGTCAAAATTAAGCAATTGTTCTCTCTCTGTTCGGGTGCCTGACATATTACGGACCGTAGTATACTGGGGATCCCAGTTTTGACAACCTGCCAAATCTTACCATGCAATGTTTGAAAGTAACATAGGGGCCTAGACAACTACCAATATTATGGTTCCATATTCCTTGTATAGTTATAGTATATGGTACCTCAAATGCACCTCAAAATGATATTGGTAATTATTTAGGCACCTAAACCCTAAACCCTTAACCCTACAAACTAAATGATATTGGTAATTGTTTAGGCCCCTGTAGTAGGACCTGCTGCTGAACGGCGTGAGTTCGTTCGTCCAGAGAAGTCTGCCTGACACGTCTTTTTCTGTCCAGATGAAAACCGGGGATGCGGATTTAGGTGGAGTTTTTGAGCTATGGGAACAGCAAGCCCGTTTGATGTTTCATTTGGGGTGGATTGCTGTCATGGACTGTCATGGGTCTGCTAAGACCATCAGTCCGCATCTCTTGAGATGATGGATCTGAAGGGTTTCCACAAGGCCGTGATGATGCGTTACAATTTTTTGAGAGACCTCAGCTTCCCCAAGGGCATCCGGTGTTCCATTCCTCCTTTAATGCCCTGTAGGCCCTCCCATGATGTTGCTTTTTCTCTCAACACGATGGCGTTGTGATATTCTTGTTGCCAGCATGCTTTCCGCTCTTAGAAGCAGTACCAGTGAAGACGGGAATGACTGGTTTCATTGTTGGCATTGTGAGGTGAAGAGGAAAGTTGCAACATAGGTAGGAGCCCAAGCCAAAGCTCAAATGGAAATCTGCAAAGCAATGTGGCACGATTCTCTTTCCTTCAATTCCGCTGAAACGGGTCCCAGATGGTTGCAGAGCCAGGCGTGTGCCTGGCCACGCAGTGTTTGCCGTCTTTCGAGCATTGGGGCACGGGCCACAGCTGAAAATGATTGAAATTGTGCAGGCTTGCGGTCGTTGGGTCCTGTGGCGGCGGCAGCGGCGGCGGTGTTGATGGTGGTGGTGGTGGTGGTGGCGGCGGCGGCGGCGGTGGTGGCGATGGTTTGCGACAGGAGGAGACGCACGATGATACGTTCTATCAGTACTAAACCTGAAAAGATTGAGATTGCAATTATGACGACGACAACGTCTACCACGACGATGATGACAACAGGTTGTTTTGCTCAAGCTGCCAGCGAAGCTGCTCCGACAATCCAACGAATGCTGCAGAGGCTGGCTGTGACCATCTTTAGCCTCTCCGCTTGGGTCGTCCCAGCCATCTTGTTAGGACCGGCGGGCGGCAAGGATTGCAGAGACTTAGGCTACTCCAAAATTATGATAGCCTCAAATAGGAAACAAAGGTAAAGGGTCGTCATGCGTGCAGCTTCATTCTCGGATCTTACTGAGAGAACCCATGCTACATGTCAAAGTGTCGCCACTGGCTTGGATGCAGGACTTCCTGCCTGGAGCTGAATTGGGCTGAGGCTTTCAGCCTTGACAGTTCCCATCCCAGGCCATAACATCTGCTTTTTTCCGAGGTAGTGAAGAGAAAGGATCCGAAGTCGCGCAAGTACGTGGACGGCGTTATTGGTGTGCAACTTGCGTGCATTAGCTTGCAAGTAGGACGCAAGGCAACCCACGCATATCCATGCTTGTTGCCTGTCCCAAAAACACACCGCGCGCTGACACTGGTTGCTAGAAAGACCAGGTGGAGCAAGATGACGACGTGGCCTTTTTTCAAAGTGAAGGCACATGGCCAGCCGGGACTATTCAGCTTACCATCCGGTTTAAAGTTATCACATTATACATCATCATGTGGGTAGGTGAAGGGCCGCGAGAACTTACCGCCTGAAGACCAGGCAGTGGCAACCCTGGCAAGGATTAAGACAGATGTTGGCGCACAACATGGCTCCGCGCTCCCTTCCCGGCTGCCATGCCAGGTGTACGCTGGAAATCACCAGTCCTTCATGGACATCCTGTCCTGCTACCACCTGTGCTGAGCTCAGAGCCTTCCAGCGCAAACTGAATCTTCTTCGTTGGGTTTGCTTCTCACACTTCAGGGCAAGGCATGTCTGACCTCTTATCGAAGAGCAGTTGTAGTCTGCTTAGCTCGCATGGCGGCTCGGAACTAAGATGAGGAGCAGGGGCCAAGAAAAAACATTGTCTCCCCAGCTTGCCTTTGGACACTGACGCGCATACCGTGGAAAGCAGAATGTCCAGTACATGGGGCCCCATATCTTCGGGCTTCCTTGCCCGTCCTAAATGTAACGAACGGACTTAGCTGCAGGCTTGCGCTTGCGTTTGTGCTGCTTTTTTTTCTCGTTTTGCTCGCACGCAAGCGAAGCAGTTGCAGTTGCTAGTGCATCTGCGAAACGATTTTCAAAGGCACCTGTTCGTCAAGCAGTCAAGCACAACTTGTTGACCGAGCACAAAGCTCACGGGAGTCTCCAGAGAAGAGTGTCTGCACTTAGGTTGACAGCTAGAATCCCGTGCCATTAAAAACACACCCCTTTAAAGAATTGGATTGGAAGCCACAAGAACCTGAGTCTTACTGAGGCCGAGAGGAAAGTCAATTGCATTTTCCATTTGGCTCCTGATGAGGTTCTTGTAATCAAGCATCCTTTCAGCCCTCCAACGGGCCCGCCGCGCTCAAATCTGACTTCGAGATACATACACGCCTTTGTCTTGAATACAGAAAGGAATCCAGTATGGGCATGCAGGGTGAACGTCATTTCTGTTGAACATTTGTTTGTCTTACTTAGGTTTTCTGAAAAGTGGGTTGCCCCCCCACCTGCGACGTACCATTGTTCCCAACATGCAGGAAGGACCCCAAATACCCCAAAGAGGATCAATCTGGCCTGTTTCTGTACTACTACTACTACTACTA